GATTCCCAAACATTTTGTAAAACGATCAATGTTCTACGTAGTGCATGGTTGAATATCGTACTGTTCAAACTCGTACATTAGTGTCGGGTTTCGCAAATACTTACTCGGGACTTATTAATAAATAAAAGAGCCCAACATTATCTATATAAGTGATCGAAGGATTAAAGAAGAATACAAATGCCTATAACTCCATCTTTGGCATTTTTGAGCTAAATAATGGGAGTAGGATTTTCCTTCTATAACATCCATCAAGTAAATTATTGGGATGAGCCTACACATATTGGAGGTCAATAATGTGATTTAGGAAGTTGACTTGTTCTAAATAAATTAGGATGAGTACAAAAAGACATCTTTGACAAAGATAAAACAATAGGACCCATCTTCCCATTTTTGGAAGTATTGGTAGATATTTTGGACCCCAAATTGATTGGGATTAATTGGGGGGCATCCCATGTGGCTTGAGTACCTGAAAGACAAGGAAAATATGTGAGGAGACTCACCTTGGCCGCACCACATGGAGAAGCATTGCCCATGACACAATTGGGATCAAATTTTGGGGCCACCACCACTGTTTTCGCACAAACAGGTGTGCTGTTTTGTCTCCCTTCATTTTGAGAGTTGTACTCGTCCAAATGGGGTGTATAAGGTGTCTTTGGATAGATTTTGAAGTCTATTTTCATATTTGAGTAGCCACAGTTCGAGAGGAGAGATCAATCATCCAAAAATCGATCTGGAACGAGCAGAGGTCTGTGAACTCGAGCTGTGAGAGTGCTGAGACTGTTTGGTCGATATCTCGAGTTTTACCAATCCAATTAAGGCGTGTGAGATACCAAAAGAAAGCTCTCAAGACGAGGAATCCGTGAAGGTCTGGTTTGCATCAATCGGAGTAGAGTAAGGCTTCCAAATCGTCCGAACAGAACGCGACCTCGCAGGAACGGATTTACTCTTCTAAGTGAGTTGTTAATCCCAAAACCTTTCCATTCATTTTCCAAATGATATGAACGATTGGTGGAACTATTATACACTACTCCAAGTGTATAATATGTCCCTATTAAGTTATTTTATTGATGTAAAGGTTAGATACTAACCTAGAACAAATCTTGGAAAACTAGGAAACGAGTTAGCCGGAAAACACCCATTCTAGGGGCTGTTTTCGTACCAACGTTTAGGGGTTGAGCTAGCACCTTGAAGAGGCTGTTTAACACTCATATTTGAGCAAGGAATCAGTTCCAAATCCACCTTGACCGAAGCTTTGACCATTGGGCCAAGAAGGGAAAGTTTAAAGCTCAATTGAGGTGAGGATTGACATCTAATTGCTTACAACTTGTAGGTTAAGCATGAGATTACCTAAATGCTTAAATCATTATTTTTCATGGATTATGATGATTATATATTGATGAAATATTGATATAGTTGCCAAAGAATGAAATTTGAAATGATTTGAGAATGTATGAATATTATGAGATTAAATGAGTATAAATGGACTATTTTTGTGAAATAGGCATTTTGCTCATGTATGAATTATGTGGTTACATAAATGAATATTTGTGTATTGAGAGTGAATACTTAAGTTGCTGCTACATAACTATAAATATGTAGAGAATTACAAATAATGAGGATAATGGTATGATAACAATAATCTTAATAGTATTGAAATACTAGTTAGTGATTATTGGAACTTGTTGATTTAATTGATCCTAGGGATTGGATTGTATGAAAGGTACTTGAATATAGTTCAAGTGTATATGATACTTAGTATGGAACTAAGGTTAAGTTATGGGAAGTCTTTAAGGATGACCCATGGTAGTTTAATGATATGTCAATTCTAGGCATAGGGTTGCTTGAGAATTGGACCTTAATGCATGGTGATGTGATAGAGCCGAGCTCTAGAATGCATGTAAGGTGTAGACTTGGAGTCTATGTATTGTATAGCTAGAGCCGAGCTCTAGGACTTGCGTGGTGATGTGATAGAGCCGAGCTCTAGAACGCAAGGTAGGAAAATTGACCCGAGGTATATGAATTGTATGGTGATGTGGTAGAGCCGAGCTCTAGAATACAATGTCATGTACTAGGGTTGGACTCTAGGAGTTGTCGTGGCTTATAGTCACGGGGTTGGGAATGGTGATTTCCAAATGAACATGGGCCCATGGGCCGGCTACTTGACTTTTATATAAAGTAAGTATATTTTTTTAAACGGGGTAACTTAGGGTTACAATCATAATGTACTATCACCCTATTTGAGGGTCTTGTGTTTGAAATACTTGTTGTATATCTATTAGATGTCTGCCACACCAGCACTTTATAGCCGTATAGAGTGCTGACCCCTTCGGGGGCGTCCCACCACCATTTTTCAGGTTGAGGCTAGAGCTTGCTTCCTGTGCTCGTTGCTCGAGAGATCATCTAGGAGCGAAGACTTGGTTCGTGCTTCCTCTATTCGGATTTTAAACATTAATAAACATGCTCATGGATATTTTATTATAGAGCCTGCGTGCTCATGAATAGCCCTATGTGGCCCTTTCGTTTTAAACAATGTTTTCCGCTGCTTTATGAATTACTTATTATGTTGTTTATGGATGACTTATGTGTGAATGATATTCATGACGCCTTGTATAATATGAATGTGTTGGACTGCGGTTGACTATTCGTATTGTACGGCGGGTTGTCGACGTGTCCGGGGAGGTCCGGGGCGTGACAATTAAGTTGGTATCAGAGCCTTAGTCCGTAAACTTCATAATGAAGTCTCAAAATCCTCTTTTTGAAAAGATTTTGAAAACCATGAGCATAGAAGTTTTGTACTTGGAGAGCTTTTGGTACTTGGGTTGCAAGGTCTCTAATTGTTAAGATGGTACCCTTAGCAATTGGTATGGCGGTGACTCGAGCCAAAATGTGTCTTAAGTACCTATCCGTCAATTGACATTTGATACGAGTCTAACGACTCCTTCCAAATTTCTTTCAGAAATGGACCGTGGTGGCAGGATTACTAGGAGAAACCCGACGAGTCGTGTACCAGTGGAGACTGGACAGGGCAGTCGAAGGACCTCTAGGGCATCTAGAGGAGCTGGCCGTGGAGGCCAATCACAGACCGTGAGTGACGGTCATGTCGACACGGAAAGTGAAACCTACTGGTCCTATGAGGACTCGACCTATCGACCGGAAACTGAACCGGTTGAGACCCCTTATGAAGGGGATGATGATGATGTAAGTGATGAGGAGGAAAATGGCTCCTTAGCACGGATTGAAGCACTACTTCAACAGTACCACCGTGAGCGTGAGGAGAGGAGGGAACGCCGAAGGCGCCGGGCTGGGCAACCTTCGGGCGGGGCTTCAAGAGGGAGAAGCCATGGCGACTCTAGGGCCCACATTGAACCACATGGGGGTCGGGGTGATGGAGGTCCAATCATAAGGATCTCCAAATACATCAAAGAGGCACGAGACTTGGGGTGCAAACCGTTCGATGGGACGGGTGACATCTCCGTTTCGGCACAATGGATTAAGCGGCTGAATGAGGCAGCCCTGGACATGCAACTCACCCCCGAATATAAACTAAGGGTTGCGGTGAGATTGCTTGAAGGTATGGCATCCAAGTGGTGGGATGGGACCAAAGGCAAATATGGCGAGACCGTCACTTGGGAGAATTTCCGACAGGAATTCTTTGCCCAATATTACTCGGATTTTGAGGTGAACAAGAAAGTGAGGGAATACACCCTTCTAACCCAAGGGGGTAACATGACGGTGAGGGAACTTGAGTACAAGTTCAGGGATCTTGCCGATTACATACCTGAGTATGCTTGTGACGAGAATCGGATGGCGAACCACTTCTGGGATGCTCTAGACTTGGAGATACGTGACAGGGCAACACAATTGCCTAACATGACGTTTGCCCAAGTGGTTGACCAAGGGTTGAAAGGAGAGAAGCAATGGGAAGAAAGGAAGAAGAGAGACGCCGAGGAGGCGAAAAAGAGAAAGTGGGAGAGTCATGGCTCCCAAGGTTCCAACAAAAAGGGGAACCACGGAGGAGGATCTTTCCGGGCACCACCGCCACCATATAGGGGGAACCAAGGCCCGAGTGGGCAAGGCGCGAGGTCACAAACCTCAGTGGTAGCTCGTTGCAACAATTGCAAGAAGAACCACTCCGGTAAATGTCGCGACCCCCCTAGATGTTTTCAATGCGGGGATGCCGGGCATTTGAAGGCACATTGCCCACAATTGAGTGGGGCAAGGACATCGGGACCGAGTAGCGGTCCGACGGGTACACGGAATCAAACCGGAGCTTCTCAAGCAAGCAGGGGGCAAGGGGGAGCAAGTGCGAGCAACGCGCCATCCGTGAACCAAGGGAGGACCCAGGCTAGGGTCTATGCGATGACGGAGGCGGATGCTCAAGCTAACCCGGACTCCGTTGCAGGTATTGCCTCTCATATACTAGTGTTTTATCCTTAATTAGTCCATAAATTGAGGATACTAATCGCTAGGATCATTGCACGAGGTTTTGGGGTCGAACCGGGGGATTTCGGGCAACTTCAGGCGGCTGGGACCCAGGCACGATCGTGCCTAAGGCAGACACGATCGTGCCTCCAAGTCAGTAGCTGCCCAGGAATATTCCCAGCCCAGGCACGATCGTGCCTAAGGCAGACACGATCGTGCCTACAAGGCAGTAGCTGCCCAGGGTTTTTCTCCAAACCAGGCACGATCGTGCCTAAGGCAGACACGATCGTGGCTCCAAGTGTGATACTCCGAAAATTTAATTGAAAAAAAAAAAGTTAATTTATAAATGAGATAAAATTTTAAAATGTGTACAAAGTGACATTTTAATACTCCGTACAAAGATGTCGGTTAATATAGTATACCACGCACGCATATGATGTGAATATTAATAAAACTTGATTCTCTATATATACACATGTACGGCATTCTAATACGGAGGTTTGACCAAGTCCTCAAGTATACCATATACTACATAGAAATATACTCGAGCATTAAATATATGGTGGCCGATGGTATGTCTTATGCTGAAGTCTCAAAAAGGAAAACGGCCAAAGCGATGATTACGTATATACGTTAAAACCCTAAAGTCTCGAAAGATCGGAGGGATATATATATATATACTCCATATGGTTTACGATTGAAATTTTCCTTAGAAACGAACTGGCGGCGAAGCGATACATATAACGATATCCGTGTGTAGGTATACATAGACCTGCTGAACCGTGTCGCCAACTCAGTGCACCACCATCTTCCACGCCGGAAGACCACAATTGAACTCCGTTGTTGCTGTACCTGGTTCTGCTTCACCAGCGAGAAAGACGACCACTTACCGGGGTTGTTGACCGGACTGTTTTGCACGCCGGAGAGGACAACTGAGCCGCACCGTTCTGTGCCACCAGAAAGGAGAGCCGCCACTGTCAGTCCACCGCCTGAGAATCCTCGCTGTATCCGTCGCCTAGTCGTCGGCCGGCATCAACCTGCGAAGAAGATAGTACGTACTCGTTAATCTATTAAAGTAGTTGGGGTTGTAGTTTTTATGGGCTGGAATCGACTTAAATGAGCTGCATTCTTTTGTGTAGGAATCTGGACCGGACTAATAATTAATACTACGTAATACAATAACGAGACTAGTAGTATTAGTAAATTATGGGATATTATACAGATTAATAATTTGTGAAATAAGGGAATCAAGAGAGGGGCAAATTATAAATAAAGGGTGCAAGAGCTAGTTAAACTATAGTTTAAATTAGATATTGATTTTGAATTTTAATAGAAGGTGATTTGAGTAAAGAGCAAGGTAGAAGAATCGCTAAGAGTACTTGGAGTTTGAGGTAAGTTTCACGTCAACCAAAATTATACCTTTTCCTCGCAAATCTATTTATGATTATTTATTTGAATTATTTGAGTATTTGATGAGATTTCTAGCAATTACATTTACGTATTAAATTAGTTGCGATTGAGATTTTTATTTGAGTATTTGGAATTACTTATGAATTGTTATTGAGAAATTATATTTGAAAATTGAGTATTTGATATTGGATGATATTTTGAGTATTTGAGTTATCGTATGAATTGTTGTTGGGATTATATTTGAGATTTGAGCTATTTATGAAGTATTCTATATTTTGGCTCTCTTGTGAAATTTTAATGTATGATACATTATATTTGAGTGTAATTTGTTGGAGTTAATATTTTACATTGTGGATTATTTTGTGGAGTTTGGATTTCATATCCGTTTTGGTTGAGGTTGTGATATTGGTTTGGGACTTTGAGAATGAATTGTGATTTTTGGTGAGCACCCGGAGAAATCTGTGGTGTCGGTTTGCCACATCCGGATAAATGTGGAATCTTTGGTGAGTGGTAATGGCTATAAGTCTAAATCCACCAGGGGTACTCCCCAAAACCGGAGTATCCCAGCTTAATTGTAGTGTAGTTGGTAGAAAAATCCCGACTACTCGGGCTTCTTACTTCCCTTTTAGGGGGTGTGCACACTTAAGGTAGGAGTTCGGCTTCCACTAGCTTTGATTGGGTTTGAGGTGAACTGGACTTTGATTGGATTGAGGTGATTGAGATTATTTGATTGGCTTGATTTGGACTTGAGGTGAATATTATTTGATTGGATTTGTGGTGAATTAAGGTATTTGATTGATTGGAATTGTTGGATTATTGGATTGGATTATATTTGGATTGAGTTGTTAAATTATTTGTGGGGTTTACTTTTGGATTTGATTTGGTTTGATTATGTTGAGCACTCTTTATTATCAGCATTTATAAGTATTTTGAGATATTTGGTATTTGATTTATGCTTGGGAATTATTGTAATGATTTTTCGTGGTTTTACGTATATTTGGTATTTTTGTAATTTTTGTGGTTGGGAAATATTTGCTTATATTTGAAGTACTATTATTTTACTAGTGAATTATGCTATGAGATTATTTTATAAATTGTTTTAAAAAAATATTTTTCCTCCTAAATGTTTTTCAAAAACATTAAATTTTATTATTTATTATTTTATGGGGTTAGGTGGAACTTACTTAGCATTGTTGCTAATTTTTGTTTTCTTTTGTTTTTCTTTTAGTACTTGATTTTGTACAGGTGACGCTTTGATGATGATGTTGATTTCGAGAGAGAGCTTCCGCTAGAAAACATAGTTAGTAAATCATTGTAATTCCATTTTCAATATCTTTAGTTAGTGAATAATTATTTTTGGAGTTTAAGTTGTTTTAGCCTGTGCACTCGGTTAAGGGAGAATCGAGTGTGGCGGTAACGCCCCTATTTCCCTTTTGGTTTTCCGCTGCATAACTCTGATGTTTTCGAATAAAGTTAATATTTCTTTTGAATAAAGCATTATTTTTGGGTGGGAAATTTGGGGGTGTTACAAGTTGGTATCAGAGCCAATGGTTTTTCCGGGGCATTTTCCAAAACATTTTTCCAAAAGTATTTTAAACAAATTTTTAAAATTTTTCCCATGTTTAATAAATTTTATTAAGTGATACCAACAAGTTGGTATCAGAGACCTTGGTTTTCGAAAAGGTTTTCAAATATTCTTTTTGAGATTTTTCATAAAAGTTTTCCAAGGGAATTTTTCAAAAGGTTTTCAAAAAAAAAAAAAAAAAAATCTAAGACTAAAATAAAATTTTAGGACCGCGGTGAGGATGTGAGACTTTCATTTTTTGTTTTGTTTCGGTTGAGTTTATGGTGAGTTTGAATTTCTTGGGATATGTTTAAGTGTGACATATCCATATATGTTTATTTGAGGATAATTTTGGACTTATAGAAGAACTTCAGACAATATTTGATTAGTGAGTTATTGGTTAGAGTAGTAAAATTGTGAATACTAGATATTTGATAGATTTCTTATTTGTATCCTAAACGCTATCCTTTTCAAGGAGATAATGACGTCCATGAGTAACAACATCGAGAACAATGATGCCACACCAACGAATGCGGAGTTGGCTCAGAATATGGTTCAACTAACTCAACTCATCCAGACCGTCGCGAATGTGTTACTTCAGAATCAACACCAACAACGTCTCAACAACCGTAATGATGTAGCGGAACTTATAGCGAAGCGTAATCCCCCGAGCTATTTAGGTGAAGAAGATCCTCGAATCCTTGAGGATTGGATTCGCACTTTCGACAAACTCTTCGAGTCCATGAACTGCCCTGCGGAACAACGAGTTGATACAGCTGCATACTACCTACGTCAAGAGGCAGACAATTGGTGGGCCACGACTGGTCCAACGTTGCGTCAACAACCTGACTTTTCTTGGGAGACGTTTAAGAAGGCAATGCGAGACAGATTCTACCCGGAGCATGTGAGAGCTGAGAAGTACGAAGAATTCTTACACCTGAAGCAAGTGGGTATGACCGTCCAAGAGTACTACGCCAAATTCTTGGAACTCACACGATTTGCAGCCGCGCTAGTTCCCGATGAAGTCGATAAAATTATTAAGTTCATACGCGGTCTGAATTTTGAGACACAAAAAGCTCTTTGCGTTTCCGAATGTCAAACTTTGAACGAAGCCTACAACAAAGCTGCCAAACACTACCGAGTGAAGCAACTCCAAAAGGAAACACTTAAGAAAGCAAGGAAGGGCACGAAAGAAGAAAGCACACGGGGAGGCAAACGACACAAGCTAAATCAACCTGGGGAGAACCAGAACGTGGACAAGAGCAACAACAAAGGCAACAAGCAGAAGTGTAAGAAGATGAACTCCGCAAAAGAGACCCACTTTTACTGTACGAAATGTGGAAAAGATCACCCTGGAAAACACTGTGACGGAACGCTCGTGCGATGTTTTTATTGTGACAAGTTAGGTCATAGGGTGTTTGAGTGTCGTTCCAAGAAGAAAGGCTTACCCCCAAATGATGGACGCCATCGTCAAGGGAAGAATGACAACCGCAACAGAAGAATCTCAGAGTAGTAGGTGAGACCATTTAAATTTCTAATTATCAGTAGTAGTAAACTCTTTGAGAATTATGTATCATTTTGATCTTTACTGAATAAATTATATTTTTGAGTAAGTCGTATGCTTCGGGGACGAAGCATATTGTTAAGGGGGGTAGAATGTGATACTCCGAAAATTTAATTGAAAAAAAAAAAGTTAATTTATAAATGAGATAAAATTTTAAAATGTGTACAAAGTGACATTTTAATACTCCGTACAAAGATGTCGGTTAATATAGTATACCACGCACGCATATGATGTGAATATTAATAAAACTTGATTCTCTATATATACACATGTACGGCATTCTAATACGGAGGTTTGACCAAGTCCTCAAGTATACCATATACTACATAGAAATATACTCGAGCATTAAATATATGGTGGCCGATGGTATGTCTTATGCTGAAGTCTCAAAAAGGAAAACGGCCAAAGCGATGATTACGTATATACGTTAAAACCCTAAAGTCTCGAAAGATCGGAGGGATATATATATATATACTCCATATGGTTTACGATTGAAATTTTCCTTAGAAACGAACTGGCGGCGAAGCGATACATATAACGATATCCGTGTGTAGGTATACATAGACCTGCTGAACCGTGTCGCCAACTCAGTGCACCACCATCTTCCACGCCGGAAGACCACAATTGAACTCCGTTGTTGCTGTACCTGGTTCTGCTTCACCAGCGAGAAAGACGACCACTTACCGGGGTTGTTGACCGGACTGTTTTGCACGCCGGAGAGGACAACTGAGCCGCACCGTTCTGTGCCACCAGAAAGGAGAGCCGCCACTGTCAGTCCACCGCCTGAGAATCCTCGCTGTATCCGTCGCCTAGTCGTCGGCCGGCATCAACCTGCGAAGAAGATAGTACGTACTCGTTAATCTATTAAAGTAGTTGGGGTTGTAGTTTTTATGGGCTGGAATCGACTTAAATGAGCTGCATTCTTTTGTGTAGGAATCTGGACCGGACTAATAATTAATACTACGTAATACAATAACGAGACTAGTAGTATTAGTAAATTATGGGATATTATACAGATTAATAATTTGTGAAATAAGGGAATCAAGAGAGGGGCAAATTATAAATAAAGGGTGCAAGAGCTAGTTAAACTATAGTTTAAATTAGATATTGATTTTGAATTTTAATAGAAGGTGATTTGAGTAAAGAGCAAGGTAGAAGAATCGCTAAGAGTACTTGGAGTTTGAGGTAAGTTTCACGTCAACCAAAATTATACCTTTTCCTCGCAAATCTATTTATGATTATTTATTTGAATTATTTGAGTATTTGATGAGATTTCTAGCAATTACATTTACGTATTAAATTAGTTGCGATTGAGATTTTTATTTGAGTATTTGGAATTACTTATGAATTGTTATTGAGAAATTATATTTGAAAATTGAGTATTTGATATTGGATGATATTTTGAGTATTTGAGTTATCGTATGAATTGTTGTTGGGATTATATTTGAGATTTGAGCTATTTATGAAGTATTCTATATTTTGGCTCTCTTGTGAAATTTTAATGTATGATACATTATATTTGAGTGTAATTTGTTGGAGTTAATATTTTACATTGTGGATTATTTTGTGGAGTTTGGATTTCATATCCGTTTTGGTTGAGGTTGTGATATTGGTTTGGGACTTTGAGAATGAATTGTGATTTTTGGTGAGCACCCGGAGAAATCTGTGGTGTCGGTTTGCCACATCCGGATAAATGTGGAATCTTTGGTGAGTGGTAATGGCTATAAGTCTAAATCCACCAGGGGTACTCCCCAAAACCGGAGTATCCCAGCTTAATTGTAGTGTAGTTGGTAGAAAAATCCCGACTACTCGGGCTTCTTACTTCCCTTTTAGGGGGTGTGCACACTTAAGGTAGGAGTTCGGCTTCCACTAGCTTTGATTGGGTTTGAGGTGAACTGGACTTTGATTGGATTGAGGTGATTGAGATTATTTGATTGGCTTGATTTGGACTTGAGGTGAATATTATTTGATTGGATTTGTGGTGAATTAAGGTATTTGATTGATTGGAATTGTTGGATTATTGGATTGGATTATATTTGGATTGAGTTGTTAAATTATTTGTGGGGTTTACTTTTGGATTTGATTTGGTTTGATTATGTTGAGCACTCTTTATTATCAGCATTTATAAGTATTTTGAGATATTTGGTATTTGATTTATGCTTGGGAATTATTGTAATGATTTTTCGTGGTTTTACGTATATTTGGTATTTTTGTAATTTTTGTGGTTGGGAAATATTTGCTTATATTTGAAGTACTATTATTTTACTAGTGAATTATGCTATGAGATTATTTTATAAATTGTTTTAAAAAAATATTTTTCCTCCTAAATGTTTTTCAAAAACATTAAATTTTATTATTTATTATTTTATGGGGTTAGGTGGAACTTACTTAGCATTGTTGCTAATTTTTGTTTTCTTTTGTTTTTCTTTTAGTACTTGATTTTGTACAGGTGACGCTTTGATGATGATGTTGATTTCGAGAGAGAGCTTCCGCTAGAAAACATAGTTAGTAAATCATTGTAATTCCATTTTCAATATCTTTAGTTAGTGAATAATTATTTTTGGAGTTTAAGTTGTTTTAGCCTGTGCACTCGGTTAAGGGAGAATCGAGTGTGGCGGTAACGCCCCTATTTCCCTTTTGGTTTTCCGCTGCATAACTCTGATGTTTTCGAATAAAGTTAATATTTCTTTTGAATAAAGCATTATTTTTGGGTGGGAAATTTGGGGGTGTTACAAGTTGGTATCAGAGCCAATGGTTTTTCCGGGGCATTTTCCAAAACATTTTTCCAAAAGTATTTTAAACAAATTTTTAAAATTTTTCCCATGTTTAATAAATTTTATTAAGTGATACCAACAAGTTGGTATCAGAGACCTTGGTTTTCGAAAAGGTTTTCAAATATTCTTTTTGAGATTTTTCATAAAAGTTTTCCAAGGGAATTTTTCAAAAGGTTTTCAAAAAAAAAAAAAAAAAAATCTAAGACTAAAATAAAATTTTAGGACCGCGGTGAGGATGTGAGACTTTCATTTTTTGTTTTGTTTCGGTTGAGTTTATGGTGAGTTTGAATTTCTTGGGATATGTTTAAGTGTGACATATCCATATATGTTTATTTGAGGATAATTTTGGACTTATAGAAGAACTTCAGACAATATTTGATTAGTGAGTTATTGGTTAGAGTAGTAAAATTGTGAATACTAGATATTTGATAGATTTCTTATTTGTATCCTAAACGCTATCCTTTTCAAGGAGATAATGACGTCCATGAGTAACAACATCGAGAACAATGATGCCACACCAACGAATGCGGAGTTGGCTCAGAATATGGTTCAACTAACTCAACTCATCCAGACCGTCGCGAATGTGTTACTTCAGAATCAACACCAACAACGTCTCAACAACCGTAATGATGTAGCGGAACTTATAGCGAAGCGTAATCCCCCGAGCTATTTAGGTGAAGAAGATCCTCGAATCCTTGAGGATTGGATTCGCACTTTCGACAAACTCTTCGAGTCCATGAACTGCCCTGCGGAACAACGAGTTGATACAGCTGCATACTACCTACGTCAAGAGGCAGACAATTGGTGGGCCACGACTGGTCCAACGTTGCGTCAACAACCTGACTTTTCTTGGGAGACGTTTAAGAAGGCAATGCGAGACAGATTCTACCCGGAGCATGTGAGAGCTGAGAAGTACGAAGAATTCTTACACCTGAAGCAAGTGGGTATGACCGTCCAAGAGTACTACGCCAAATTCTTGGAACTCACACGATTTGCAGCCGCGCTAGTTCCCGATGAAGTCGATAAAATTATTAAGTTCATACGCGGTCTGAATTTTGAGACACAAAAAGCTCTTTGCGTTTCCGAATGTCAAACTTTGAACGAAGCCTACAACAAAGCTGCCAAACACTACCGAGTGAAGCAACTCCAAAAGGAAACACTTAAGAAAGCAAGGAAGGGCACGAAAGAAGAAAGCACACGGGGAGGCAAACGACACAAGCTAAATCAACCTGGGGAGAACCAGAACGTGGACAAGAGCAACAACAAAGGCAACAAGCAGAAGTGTAAGAAGATGAACTCCGCAAAAGAGACCCACTTTTACTGTACGAAATGTGGAAAAGATCACCCTGGAAAACACTGTGACGGAACGCTCGTGCGATGTTTTTATTGTGACAAGTTAGGTCATAGGGTGTTTGAGTGTCGTTCCAAGAAGAAAGGCTTACCCCCAAATGATGGACGCCATCGTCAAGGGAAGAATGACAACCGCAACAGAAGAATCTCAGAGTAGTAGGTGAGACCATTTAAATTTCTAATTATCAGTAGTAGTAAACTCTTTGAGAATTATGTATCATTTTGATCTTTACTGAATAAATTATATTTTTGAGTAAGTCGTATGCTTCGGGGACGAAGCATATTGTTAAGGGGGGTAGAATGTGATACTCCGAAAATTTAATTGAAAAAAAAAAAGTTAATTTATAAATGAGATAAAATTTTAAAATGTGTACAAAGTGACATTTTAATACTCCGTACAAAGATGTCGGTTAATATAGTATACCACGCACGCATATGATGTGAATATTAATAAAACTTGATTCTCTATATATACACATGTACGGCATTCTAATACGGAGGTTTGACCAAGTCCTCAAGTATACCATATACTACATAGAAATATACTCGAGCATTAAATATATGGTGGCCGATGGTATGTCTTATGCTGAAGTCTCAAAAAGGAAAACGGCCAAAGCGATGATTACGTATATACGTTAAAACCCTAAAGTCTCGAAAGATCGGAGGGATATATATATATATACTCCATATGGTTTACGATTGAAATTTTCCTTAGAAACGAACTGGCGGCGAAGCGATACATATAACGATATCCGTGTGTAGGTATACATAGACCTGCTGAACCGTGTCGCCAACTCAGTGCACCACCATCTTCCACGCCGGAAGACCACAATTGAACTCCGTTGTTGCTGTACCTGGTTCTGCTTCACCAGCGAGAAAGACGACCACTTACCGGGGTTGTTGACCGGACTGTTTTGCACGCCGGAGAGGACAACTGAGCCGCACCGTTCTGTGCCACCAGAAAGGAGAGCCGCCACTGTCAGTCCACCGCCTGAGAATCCTCGCTGTATCCGTCGCCTAGTCGTCGGCCGGCATCAACCTGCGAAGAAGATAGTACGTACTCGTTAATCTATTAAAGTAGTTGGGGTTGTAGTTTTTATGGGCTGGAATCGACTTAAATGAGCTGCATTCTTTTGTGTAGGAATCTGGACCGGACTAATAATTAATACTACGTAATACAATAACGAGACTAGTAGTATTAGTAAATTATGGGATATTATACAGATTAATAATTTGTGAAATAAGGGAATCAAGAGAGGGGCAAATTATAAATAAAGGGTGCAAGAGCTAGTTAAACTATAGTTTAAATTAGATATTGATTTTGAATTTTAATAGAAGGTGATTTGAGTAAAGAGCAAGGTAGAAGAATCGCTAAGAGTACTTGGAGTTTGAGGTAAGTTTCACGTCAACCAAAATTATACCTTTTCCTCGCAAATCTATTTATGATTATTTATTTGAATTATTTGAGTATTTGATGAGATTTCTAGCAATTACATTTACGTATTAAATTAGTTGCGATTGAGATTTTTATTTGAGTATTTGGAATTACTTATGAATTGTTATTGAGAAATTATATTTGAAAATTGAGTATTTGATATTGGATGATATTTTGAGTATTTGAGTTATCGTATGAATTGTTGTTGGGATTATATTTGAGATTTGAGCTATTTATGAAGTATTCTATATTTTGGCTCTCTTGTGAAATTTTAATGTATGATACATTATATTTGAGTGTAATTTGTTGGAGTTAATATTTTACATTGTGGATTATTTTGTGGAGTTTGGATTTCATATCCGTTTTGGTTGAGGTTGTGATATTGGTTTGGGACTTTGAGAATGAATTGTGATTTTTGGTGAGCACCCGGAGAAATCTGTGGTGTCGGTTTGCCACATCCGGATAAATGTGGAATCTTTGGTGAGTGGTAATGGCTATAAGTCTAAATCCACCAGGGGTACTCCCCAAAACCGGAGTATCCCAGCTTAATTGTAGTGTAGTTGGTAGAAAAATCCCGACTACTCGGGCTTCTTACTTCCCTTTTAGGGGGTGTGCACACTTAAGGTAGGAGTTCGGCTTCCACTAGCTTTGATTGGGTTTGAGGTGAACTGGACTTTGATTGGATTGAGGTGATTGAGATTATTTGATTGGCTTGATTTGGACTTGAGGTGAATATTATTTGATTGGATTTGTGGTGAATTAAGGTATTTGATTGATTGGAATTGTTGGATTATTGGATTGGATTATATTTGGATTGAGTTGTTAAATTATTTGTGGGGTTTACTTTTGGATTTGATTTGGTTTGATTATGTTGAGCACTCTTTATTATCAGCATTTATAAGTATTTTGAGATATTTGGTATTTGATTTATGCTTGGGAATTATTGTAATGATTTTTCGTGGTTTTACGTATATTTGGTATTTTTGTAATTTTTGTGGTTGGGAAATATTTGCTTATATTTGAAGTACTATTATTTTACTAGTGAATTATGCTATGAGATTATTTTATAAATTGTTTTAAAAAAATATTTTTCCTCCTAAATGTTTTTCAAAAACATTAAATTTTATTATTTATTATTTTATGGGGTTAGGTGGAACTTACTTAGCATTGTTGCTAATTTTTGTTTTCTTTTGTTTTTCTTTTAGTACTTGATTTTGTACAGGTGACGCTTTGATGATGATGTTGATTTCGAGAGAGAGCTTCCGCTAGAAAACATAGTTAGTAAATCATTGTAATTCCATTTTCAATATCTTTAGTTAGTGAATAATTATTTTTGGAGTTTAAGTTGTTTTAGCCTGTGCACTCGGTTAAGGGAGAATCGAGTGTGGCGGTAACGCCCCTATTTCCCTTTTGGTTTTCCGCTGCATAACTCTGATGTTTTCGAATAAAGTTAATATTTCTTTTGAATAAAGCATTATTTTTGGGTGGGAAATTTGGGGGTGTTACACCAAGTCAGTGGTTCCCAGGATTTTTCCAACCCAGGCACGATCGTGCCTAAGGCAGACACGATCGTGCCTCCAAGGCAGTAGCCCCAGGGCGTTTTCCTGAGCCAGGCACGATCGTGCCTACCCCGGGCACGCCGTGCCTGGCACCCAGATTGCCGAAACCCGATTTTTTCGCATCGTTTTGCGACGTTAAGGCCTTTTCTTGATCTCTAACGTGCGTGTGAACATTGCAACCTTCTATAAATGAGTAGGGAGGATAGGAAAGATGTCTTACATGGTTCATGAATGTAGGGACACTAAAGATTAACGGGAAGGATGCACGAATCCTTATCGATACCGGAGCGCAACGTTCATTCGTGAGTGAGGCGTTTGCCGAGAGCTTAGAGATGCAATCAATACCAATGACACAAACCTTAGTGGTATCAACCCCACTAGGGGAAGACGTTGAAAGAAACAATTACTATCCATCTTGTATGGTGGAAATCGGTGGCCAAACCTTGACGTGTGATTTCGTACCGCTGAGTATGATGGAGTTCGATGCAATCCTAGGGATGGATTGGCTAGAAAAGCATCATGCTAGGGTAGATTGCTACACAAAGGTGTTGGAACTCGAAGGCACACATGGGGACACCCTACGCTTCGAGGGGGACCGCGGCAAATCAAATAGTTGTATCATATCCGCCGTGAGAGCGAGAAATATGATGAGGAAGGGATGCCACGCATATCTAGCATACGTGGTTGACAAAACCAAAGAGGGAACGAACATCGATGATGTGAGGGTGGTTTGTAAGTATCCGGATGTCTTCCCTAAAGACCTACCGGGGCTTCCACCTGACAGAGAGATTGAATTTGTGATCGAGGTCGAGCCTGGTACCAAACCAATCTCCATACCGCCATACCGGATGGCACCCGCTGAACTTAATGAGTTGAAAACCCAATTGCAAGAGCTTTTGGATAACGGTTTCATTAGACCAAGCCACTCCCCGTGGGGAGCACCGGTTCTTTTTGTGAAAAAGAAAGATGGGACACTTCGAATGTGCATTGACTATCGTCAACTGAACAAGGTCACAATCAAGAATAGGTATCCGTTGCCTAGGATTGATGACTTGTTTGATCAACTACGAGGAGCAACCGTGTTTTCGAAGATTGACTTAAGGTCGGGGGTACCATCAATTGAAGATTAAGGAAGATGACATACCAAAGAGTGCTTTCCGCACAAGGTATGGGCATTTTGAGTTCCTTGTTATGTCGTTTGGGTTAACAAACGCCCCGGCGGCATTCATGGACTTGATGAACCGAGTATTTCATAAATACTTGGATCGATTCGTGATTGTGTTCATAGATGACATCTTGATTTACTCAAAGAGTGAAGAAGAGCATGAGGAGCACTTGATACTTGTTCTTGAAACACTACGGGAGAAGCAACTCTATGCCAAATTTTCTAAATGTGAATTTTGGCTAAAGGAGATTGGCTTCCTCGGGCACGTGGTTTCGGGATCGGGGATTGTTGTTGATAACAAGAAGATAGAAGCCATTACTGAATGGGAGAGGCCAAAGAACGTCAAGGAAATTCGTAGTTTCCTTGGATTGGCAGGCTACTATAGGAAGTTCGTGGAAAAGTTCTCTGTTTTGGCATCGCCATTGACGAAGCTCACTCGTAAAGGAGCTAAGTTTGTATGGGATGACAAATGTGAGAAATGGTTCATGGAACTAAAGAAGAGATTGACTGAGGCACCGGTACTTGCATTACCCAAACAAGGTGTGGGGTACGATGTCTATAGCGATGCAAGCATCCAAGGGCTCGGATGTGTACTGATGCAGAATGGGAGGGTAATCGCCTATGCTTCACGACAATTGAAGAAGCATGAGGTGAATTATCCTACTCATGATTTGGAGCTCGGGGCAGTGGTATTTGCACTGAAGATATGGAGACATTATCTCTACGGGGAGACATGTCACATATACACTGATCACAAGAGCTTGCTTCCTGTGCTCGTTGCTCGAGAGATCATCTAGGAGCGAAGACTTGGTTCGTGCTTCCTCTATTCGGATTTTAAACATTAATAAACATGCTCATGGATATTTTATTATAGAGCCTGCGTGCTCATGAATAGCCCTATGTGGCCCTTTCGTTTTAAACAATGTTTTCCGCTGCTTTATGAATTACTTATTATGTTGTTTATGGATGACTTATGTGTGAATGATATTCATGACGCCTTG